AGCAGACAATTCATCCACACCTTACCCTGAATGGAGATTGCAGAGGGACTAGGGAGCACACAGTGGCTGAGACTGCAGTTTGCAGAGGGAGAGATTGGAGTGGACAAACCAGACAGCAGCATTACTGTAAATAACCCCCCAAATTGCAGCCTCTATGCCCCAATACAGACCTATCCACACAAGCACAACATCTACACCCCACTACAGTCCCTTCTTTCCAATAATAGCCCAGAACTCCCCTACTACAGCCCCTATCCCTCCCACTAGTCTGTATCTCTCCCATTACAGCCTCTATCTCAACCACTTGCAGCATGTATCTCCTACTATAGCCCCCAACTCTCCTTTTACACCCCATTCCCCCACTACATCCCCAATTCCCTGACTACAGTCCCTATCCCCCAGTACAGTCCCATATCCTCTCCACTACAGTCCCTCTCCCCCAATTGCTGCCCCTTTCCCCAATTGCAGCAATCCTCCTACTTCAGCCCCTAACCCCCTGTAGCAGAGCTGCAATCCTAAGATACAAGATCTCTGCTGGAATCCTCTGGAGCTGGAAGAAAGCGCTGGTCAGTGATCATAGCCCATTCCCTCAGTAACTTTACGACACAAAATTCTGGGAGTCAACTGATTTTTATTGGCCCACACACAGTTTTTTATGCACAGCCCTAAAGTATGGGGTCTCTACAGCAGGTTCACAGGGCTTTTTCCTAAGAGTCTTTGGGTCTGAGAGATAATTGAGCTTGGAAAACATGATAACTCAATTATCTCTCAGTTACAGGACTAACATAAAATATCACAAAATACAAGAAAACCATAATAAAACATTACAGAAACCCCACAATTCTTATATCTCCAAATAGCCTGGGTCTGAGCGCACAACATATTCGAAAAGCGCTCATTGGTTCAGTGGATCGTTATTTGGGAGAAGTTTTGACCGACCCGCAACGAGGTAATGCCCCAAAAGAGTTTCGGAGAATCCAGGGTAGAGGCGGGTCTTTGATCGAGAGTTCCTGTACGAACACAGCCGAATCCCCCGGGCTCTTAGGTAGCGAACGTTCCCCCCAGTCGGTAGATCATATCTCCCGAAAATGGTTGGTTTAGCTGGTCGGGAAAGTATACAGGCAGCAGTGCCATTATAACCCAGGTACGCAAGAATGTGTAGCCAAAATGAGTTGCACAGAATCAATGACCAAGTACCGCTGCCCGCGTTCGGAAGACAAAATGGCAGTGGAAAGCACTCAAGTTAATCCTTTAATTGCAGTTAACAGCCAGGGGTGGTCGGTGTTCTAAGTCACTAAAGAGGGGGACCACACAAGTTCTGTTCAGTACCCGAAAAGGGTGTACTGGTCTGTTTGGTAGAACTAAATATAGGTTCGGGCACCCTCATGTAATAACTCAGGTCCATCACACCCCCCTACTACAGCCCCTATCCCCCACTTCAGCCACTGTCCCCCACCTACAGCCTATAACTCCTCAATAACAGCCTCTACCACCCCACTACAACCGACTACCAGTGTCCCTCCCGAGATTAGATTCTGGGTTTGCCCCTGTCACATCTGTCGCTACAGACACCGAAGAACCGAGTGACCAGCGTAGTGAGAGAGTGACACACTACGCGTCCTGAAAGAGAGACCAATTAGGATGCGCGCTGTGTTACTCTCTCATCATGTCTGTAAAGTCCGCCTACCCAATAGCTTACTAGCTTGTGCAGCTACCTCCCTAAAATGAGTTTTGGCATGTTGGAATGTCTGTTACAGGCTATGCTGTACAATCACAGACAGTCACACATTACATGCTATGTTGTACAATCACAGACAGACACACATTACAGGCCATGCTGTACAATCACAGACAGACACACACTACAGGCCATGTTGTACAATCACAGACAGACACACAGTACAGGCTATGCTGTACAATCACAGACAGGCACACATTACATGCTATGTTGTACAATCACAGACAGACACACAGTACAGGCCATGCTGTACAGTCACAGACAGACACACAGTACAGGCCATGCTGTACAGTCACAGACAGACACACAGTACATGCCGTGCTGTACAGTCACAGACAGACAGACACACACACACATTACAGGCCATGCTGTACAATCACAGACAGACACACATAGGCCATGCTGTACAATCACAGACAGACAGACACACAGTACAGGCCATGCTGTACAATCACAGACAGACAGACATTACAGGCCATTCTGTACAGTCACAGACAGACAGACACACATTATAGGCCATGCTGTACAATCACAGACAGACACACATTATAGGCCATGCTGTACAATCACAGACAGACAGACACACAGTACAGGCCATGCTGTACAATCACAGACAGACATTACAGGCCATGCTGTACAGTCACAGACAGACAGACAGACACACATTACATGCTATGTTGTACAATCACAGACAGACACACAGTACAGGCCATGCGGTACAGTCACAGACAGACAGACAGACACACATTACATGCTATGTTGTACAATCACAGACAGACAGACAGACACACATTACAGGCCATGCTGTACAGTCACAGACAGACAGACACACAGTACAGGCTATGTTGTACAGTCACAGACAGACAGACATTACATGCTATGTTGTACAATCACAGACAGACAGACACATAGTACAGGCCATGCTGTACAATCACAGACAGACAGGCACACAGTACAGGCTATGTTGTACAATCACAGACAGACAGACACACAGTACAGGCCATGCTGTACAGTCACAGACAGACACACAGTACATGCCGTGCTGTACAGTCACAGACAGACAGACACACACACACATTACAGGCCATGCTGTACAATCACAGACAGACACACATAGGCCATGCTGTACAATCACAGACAGACAGACACACAGTACAGGCCATGCTGTACAATCACAGACAGACAGACATTACAGGCCATTCTGTACAGTCACAGACAGACAGACACACATTATAGGCCATGCTGTACAATCACAGACAGACACACATTATAGGCCATGCTGTACAATCACAGACAGACAGACACACAGTACAGGCCATGCTGTACAATCACAGACAGACATTACAGGCCATGCTGTACAGTCACAGACAGACAGACAGACACACATTACATGCTATGTTGTACAATCACAGACAGACACACAGTACAGGCCATGCGGTACAGTCACAGACAGACAGACAGACACACATTACATGCTATGTTGTACAATCACAGACAGACAGACAGACACACATTACAGGCCATGCTGTACAGTCACAGACAGACAGACACACAGTACAGGCTATGTTGTACAGTCACAGACAGACAGACATTACATGCTATGTTGTACAATCACAGACAGACAGACACATAGTACAGGCCATGCTGTACAATCACAGACAGACAGGCACACAGTACAGGCTATGTTGTACAATCACAGACAGACAGACACACAGTACAGGCCATGCTGTACAGTCACAGACAGACACACAGTACATGCCGTGCTGTACAGTCACAGACAGACAGACACACACACACATTACAGGCCATGCTGTACAATCACAGACAGACACACATAGGCCATGCTGTACAATCACAGACAGACAGACACACAGTACAGGCCATGCTGTACAATCACAGACAGACAGACATTACAGGCCATTCTGTACAGTCACAGACAGACAGACACACATTATAGGCCATGCTGTACAATCACAGACAGACACACATTATAGGCCATGCTGTACAATCACAGACAGACAGACACACAGTACAGGCCATGCTGTACAATCACAGACAGACATTACAGGCCATGCTGTACAGTCACAGACAGACAGACAGACACACATTACATGCTATGTTGTACAATCACAGACAGACACACAGTACAGGCCATGCGGTACAGTCACAGACAGACAGACAGACACACATTACATGCTATGTTGTACAATCACAGACAGACAGACAGACACACATTACAGGCCATGCTGTACAGTCACAGACAGACAGACACACAGTACAGGCTATGTTGTACAGTCACAGACAGACAGACATTACATGCTATGTTGTACAATCACAGACAGACAGACACATAGTACAGGCCATGCTGTACAATCACAGACAGACAGGCACACAGTACATGCTATGTTGTACAATCACAGACAGACAGACAGACACACATTACAGGCCATGCTGTACAGTCACAGACAGACAGACACACAGTACAGGCTATGTTGTACAGTCACAGACAGACAGACATTACATGCTATGTTGTACAATCACAGACAGACAGACACATAGTACAGGCCATGCTGTACAATCACAGACAGACAGACACACATTACATGCTATGTTGTACAATCACAGACAGACAGACAGACACACATTACAGGCCATGCTGTACAGTCACAGACAGACAGACACATAGTACAGGCTATGTTGTACAGTCACAGACAGACAGACATTACATGCTATGTTGTACAATCACAGACAGACAGACACATAGTACAGGCCATGCTGTACAATCACAGACAGACAGGCACACAGTACATGCTATGTTGTACAATCACAGACAGACAGACAGACACACATTACAGGCCATGCTGTACAGTCACAGACAGACAGACACACAGTACAGGCTATGTTGTACAGTCACAGACAGACAGACATTACATGCTATGTTGTACAATCACAGACAGACAGACACATAGTACAGGCCATGCTGTACAATCACAGACAGACAGGCACACATTACAGGCTATGTTGTACAATCACAGACAGACAGACACACAGTACAGGCCATGCTGTACAATCACAGACAGACAGACAGGCACACATTACAGGCTATGTTGTACAGTCACAGACAGACACACAGTACAGGCTGAGGCTAGCTTTGCCCACTCCTATCTCCTGGCGGAAGCAGTTTCTGACAAACTTCCGGTGTGCTGGATTCTGATTGGCTGCTCTTGTATTTCCGGGTGTGAGGGTCTGGCTGTCGGTAAAGATGGCGGCTATCAGCGAGCAGTGGCCGGAGATCGAGAAGGCGGAGAAGGAGAAGCGCCGCGAGCTGGTGTTCCAGGGTCCGGCTGTGGATGACAAGCTGCGGGCGTGCGGCGGCCAGCTCCCCCCGGCTCTGTTCAGCCTCTCCCTCCTTAACTACCTGGAGGTGAGCGGGTGCCCGGAGCTGCGGGAGCTGGGTGACGGCGTGGGGCGGCTCTCCCACGTGCAGAGCCTGGTGCTGTGCCGCAATAAGCTGCAGAGGATCCCCCCGGCCCTGGGCGAGCTCAGAGCCCTGCGGGTCCTCGATGTGTCCGGGAACGAGCTGGAGGAGCTGCCGGCGGAGATCGCTCAGCTGTCCGACCTCTGCACCCTGAATGTCAGCTGCAACCGGCTGCGGGAGCTCCCTGCCGGGCTGGAGCGATGTACTAAGATCGCCGGGCTCAACCTGTCTAAGAACTGCATCACCGAATTCCCTCCCGGGTTCCTGTGCTCCCAGCTGGCCCTGCTGGCCTCTATATCGGCTGCAGACAACCGAATCCAGGAGCTGGGGGAGGAGATCGGCCTCCTGCAAGGGCTAAAGGTACCGGCCACTTACCGCAGCCAGTGACTTACAAACAGCAGCTAACCAGCTGTGGCCTGATTCATGTCACCTCCCCTGGAAAATGAGTATTTCATAAAGATTATATTTCATAAAGATAGAAACTTTTTATAAAATACTCATTTTGAAGAAAGTAAATCTCACCTTTACCTGCGCGACCGGACACTAGACCCCCAGACGGTGACAGCGCCGCTATAGAACTCTAACCACCATAATCACTAAAACCCACAGTAGTGGTTATGATGTGAGAAGTATTTTGGCGCTGTTCCTCAGTTTTACAATGGTTTTACTACTTGTAGGGATTCTCTAGTGCCAGGAAAACAAACTTGTTTTCCTGGCTCTAGAAAATCCTTGCTTGCCCCCCATTCCACGCCGCTGAAGGGGTTAAAACCCCCTTCTGACACTTACCTGAATCCGGCGCCGGCAGGGGAGATATAATGCGTGGCTATGGTCACGCACGTATTAGTCACCCCATAGGAAAACATTATCCAATTATTTCCCATGGGGATTCCGGCGATAGGGTGACAACGACCAAAAGTAGTCTATGAAGCTGTAAGTCCCTCTAGTGGCTGTCTGGTAGACAGCCACTAGAGGACTTAACCCTGCAAGGTAATTATTGCAGTTTATGAAAACCAGCTTAAGGATGATGGGAATTGGCACCCAGACCACTTCAATGAGCTGAAGTGGTCTGGGTGTCTACAGTGTCCCTTTAACTGGTAGTCAGGCACCAGGTCTCTTTTGAAGCACTGTTTGTGAAGCTGAATGCTGATCCTGCCATTCATTTATTAGCTGAGAGTGGCAACTCTCAGCCAATGAATGAGATCCTGTGGATCGAAATCTGTACAGGGTGGCTAATGACACTGCCAGAAGTGGAGTTGCGCCTCCAGCAGCAAAGTGGTTAAGCTCTGCATGTGCAGTGTTCCAAAGTGAAACATACAGACTGCTGGTACCATGACCACTTCAAATCACTTTAGTGATTGCAGAGCATGCATGTGTATCAGTTTTGTTCAGCTTGGTTATTGAGCCTAAATTTCGCAATTTGTATTTACATTAAAGCCCAGTGAATTCTGACTTACACTGTATATTTTTGCACAACTCTTCGTAGGTGTTTAGCAAACTCTGCCCTGTGTAAGATACAATAAAACTATCAGTCGCTTTAGCTTTTATTTGTATTTTCAGAGTCTGGATCTCTCCAACAACCAACTCACTGACATCCCTTGTGAGTTGGCAGATTGCAGTAAGTTGAAAGAAATAAACTTCACGGGCAACAAGCTTAAAGACAAACGCTTGGAAAAGATGGTAAATGGCTGTCAAACAAAGTCTGTATTGGATTATCTACGGGTTGGAGGACGTGGAGGAGGAAAAGGAAAAAAGACAGAAAATGCTGTAAAGGAAGACGTGAAAGACAAAAAGAAAAAGCGAGAGCGTAAACCAAAGAAAGATAACGGAGGAGATGAAGATGACCCTGATGAAGAGTTGAATAAAATGATGCTAAAAATCCTGCATATTTCAGAGAACTCATCGCCACTCATTGTAAAAGCAAGTGCCAGCACAAAGGACGTTCGGCAATACATCGTGTGCTGTGTGGTCAGAGGAATGAACTTGAAACCTGGCAATGCTCTAAAACGGTTCCTAGCTGCACAGGTAATTCTTGTAGACCTATAGGTATATGAATAACACAACAGCCAGTTTGCTTTTATAATGTTAGTGAAATTCCAAAAAAGAAAATAGCACTTCTCAAATGAGAATAGTCTCCTGGATATTTAACAATTTAGATACTAAATAACCATAGATGAAAAACTAATAACCTTGAAAAAAAAAATATATATATACAAGCTTTATAAGGCTACTCCTATGCCAATATGTAATATATATATATATATTTTTTTTGTGAGGACAGGAGCAGTGATAGAGGAAATGTATGAAAAATAAAAAAAAGCTTTATTGTAACCTTATCAATAGAATCCTATCTCAGTCGGATATACCATACGCCCACTACACGTTAGTCATCACAGCTGATTACTTCCACGTGAGGTATTCCTATATAAACAGGTCATTTTAATTTCTCTGTTAACCCCTGACGGAGGTGCAACTTGTTTGGCACCAAAACGTGCGCAGGCTTTCTTTTTCTGTTTTTAAAATGGGGGTTTAATTCACTCCACTATAATTTATTTTCAATTTTAGGGTTATTTTCTCACATTATGTTTTTAGATGGCCTAACTTAGCTTATTTCTTCATTCATTTTCTCCTTATGCCTATTTAGTAAGATTAACAGTGTGAGAGGCTGTTTTCTATCCCTTTTATATCTTCTGTATTGATTTTGAACGTATCTATTTGGCTGTTACTCAGCCTCAGGGTGACTCCCAGACATGGTATTTTTGCCTCTAGTAAACGGACTGAGATAGGATGGTATAGGATTCCACTGATAAGGTTACAATAAAGCTTTTTTTATTTTTCATATATTACCTATATCCATGTCCTTACAAAAATGTTTTTTTACATATTGGCATAGGAGTAGCCTTAAAAGGCTTGTATCTTTTAGTATTTTTTTTCAAGGTTATTATTTTTTCATCTATGGTTATTTAGTATCTAAATTGTTTAATATCCAGGCGGCTATTCTCATTTGAGAAGTACTATTTTCTTTTTTCTATATACGTTTTAGGGTTATGCCCTGGAATGTCCCACTGGTGTGCGGACATAGTGGTCTGATTTGATTGACTTCAGTTGCTCTATCTTTCCTCTATATCCGCTCTTGTGCTTGTTTTCAAATTCCAAAACCGTCATTGTGACTTTTTTTCCTAAAGAACATATCTAAGTGGCAGTGCTGCTTTAATCCAGTTTGGAAAAACGTTGGGTAGCATAAACACAAGGTTATTCGCTAAACTGTGAACTGTCAGGAATCAGAGGATTCCAAATTTTAGGCTAAAATATTTTAGCTGTAAACACTGAGAGTTAAAGAATTGTTTAAAACCGTTTTTAGTATTCCTTAATGATTTCCCGGTAATTCAGTTTAGTAATTTTAGAGGTTTCTGACTGAATTGTTATTTATTTTTGTAACTTATATTGAACTTGATTGATATTAACTCTACAAATCTGATTTAATCAGTGTACCTACACAATCAAAGAATACTATACTCCATTGGTGTGCTTCCTTTTGCGGTATCTCACGATTCTGAGGGCGGTGTTTCACAAAGCCTACTCGGCAGGAGGAAGCTTACAACTGCCAGTCACCATGCATGTAGTTTTATAATATCAAATTCATAGACTGCATTTGGTAGACAGAATTGCAAAGAATTTAAATCATAGGTGATCGTACAAGGATCTTTTTATTTTTTTTTCATTGTCTCCCTGCATGTAGCTACAGTCTGCCCCATTCTCTGTAATATCACATTGGAAACTATCATTCCAGTACACTTTTTAAAAAAAGATTTTTGTACAGATTTCACACTCCTTCCAGGCTCCCCTAGTAACTTGTATGAATTCTCTCCAATAGCTCCTTTCCTGAAAAATAAACAAGAATTGAGCTCTTTGGCATGCTATTGCAATCTGCAGTAGAATATTGAAGATTCTCTGGATCAGCTCATTTTTTTTAAAGGGACACTAAAATCACCAGAACAACTGCAGCTTATTGCATTTGTTCTGGTGAGTATAATCATTCTCTTCAGGCTTTTTGCAGTAAACACTGTCTTTTTTTAAATAAAATGCAATGTTTACATGTTTACTAGATGTGCTTCCTGGGGAAGCGCTACACAGTGTGCAGCACTACCATTTAGTGTCTCCACACTCTGCATGCAGACTCTGAACTTTCCTCATAGAGATGCATTGATTGCATCTCTGAGGAGATGCAGATTGGTCGGGGCTGTGTTTGACTTGTGCTGGCTCTTTCCCTAAACTGCCTCCTTGGCAGTCTAGGCCAGTCCAATAGTTTCCTATGGGAGATCAGTGTGATTGGCTCAGAGAATCATTTCTGATGATGTCAGCCAGTAAGGCAGATCAGGGGCAGAGCCAGTAGCAGCAGAATTGAATAAAGTAAGATCTTAATTGCAGTTTATAAAGATGCTGCTTTCTATTTACAAATGGCACTTTTTAAAATAACTGCAGTAACACCTCCCTCAGATAGCTGTGGAGGATTTCCTTCCTGATTCCGTTAGCTCTGTGCACCTGCCTTCTGCCCAAGAAAGTGTGCCGTTTGTGCACACGTCCATAGAACTCACTTTAGACCTGTCTGCAGACTTTCTGGCTGCCAGCCTGGAGGTAGTGGGCTGCATGCTGATCTCACAGTGGTTTATCATGACCAATGACATGCTTCTCATTGAGGAGCCTCTGATTTTGTGAGGCTAGCAAGCTTCCAAGTTCAAGATTGGAAAGGGCTTGCAAAGGCTGCAGACAGCTGATCTGCAGCTTTTTCAAGCTGTTTTTAGCTATACCACGATGGAAACAAATGCAGCAATAAATGTATGCATGTTTTAATTGGGTTATATCTACTAAAGTGGGGGGAAATCCATTGAAGTGTTCCTTTACGTTTGTGACTCCAAGAAAATGCATTCCAGAGGATTTTGTAGTAAGAGTAATGCTCTTTATAGTGTTAAGTCATACACGTACAAACGGTCAGTGTTTCAGTCCATATACCAGGACTTTCTTTGAGAGTGTGAACTTATATAATTAAAAGGCAAATGACAGACTAATACTATTCCAAAATCTTTCTGCTTTTAAATGTGCCATAAATGCACCTCATACAATGCTATACATAGGAACAAGTCATGTTTATTTTAAAGAAGTAACGTTAACCATTCACTTATTTTTATTTATTTTTAGTCCGTTATTTATTTCCCTTTCCCATCTTCTTCTTTTTCCTTGCGCAGCCTCATTCTGATATTTTGGATTTTTTTACATTTAGTATGTTTTAGGTTTTCCTACCAAGGCTTGCCTCCCACGCCCCATTTTTTTTTTTTTTTTTGCACTTACAACCTACTCCTGCATATTTATTTTAAAGAAGTGCTTGACAAATTTCATTGCAATCTAGGAGCCAGCTAAAAAAGTTAGGAGCCTTTTTTCTGGGGTTTTTTTTTTTTTGGTTAAACTAACAAAGCTTTATTTTCAACGACAAAAATACAATTCACTATAGTACTGCCGCTTAATTTTCTGGTGTCTATAGTATGTCCCTACAGGCTTTTCAATATAAATTCAGCATTGAGAATAGGCAGTGTTTACATTGTTGCCTAATAACATCTCTAGTAATAGTCACTAAGACAGCCACTAGAGGTGATTCTTAGACCACTGCTGCAATGTGCAACACCTACGTTCACTGTCTCTGTGCTGTGCATGGAGGTGCTGAATGTTCCCCATAGAGCTGCATTTTGCTGTGCACGCACAATATCCTCCCAATCCTTTTTTTTATGGGAAAGCATTGTCTTGGCTGAGATCATCAAGATTGATTATCTCTGACACGACGACCAGCACGGTGTGGGAAAAGGGTTGAGTTAAAACACATTTCCCATGCAGCCGGAGAAGGGGCTGATCACCTAAACATACACTCACTCGCAGACAGACACTACCTTTTGGGTGAGCAGAAGTGGATTCCTTTCATGTAGTCCAGTGTGGCTGCTGAAATCTTCCTGCTCTTTTTGATTTGCTCCCTCGAATGCTGTTTACTGATGCTGGGGGGCGAAATTACTTTCATCTCTCCGCTTCCAGCATCACAGCAGGGCATGTGAGGGAGCAGAGCAATAGGAGCTCCATTGCCGCTGTCTCCATTCTCACTCAGCCTACATCGGGAGTGCAGTGGGGCTGATGCTGAATGGGCTGTCAAACTTTTTTAGTCGCCAGGGTGAGCTGGTGCCTGGGGTTTGTCGAGCCTTGTTTTAAAAGTGACATCGGAATCAAATTTCTAAAATGCTTTTAACTATTTTTTACCACTAGGTGGCAGAGCATATCTGAAATTTGTGGTGCGCACCTAGTAAGGGACATATTCTATGAATGATGTTGCACAACACTGTTAATCTCTTTCATGTTATAGTAGCTTCATAGACCTGCAGATTTAAGTGATCTTTTTCTCATGTGTTTTTGTGCTTCTAGTACCTACTGCAGTTGAAGATGAATCATAATATAGACTTTGATGGCATATTTAAAAAAAATTAAAAAAGGTCCATCTAATCTG